GATCCCGATCGGGATTCCCTAAATCTCCCCGTACAACCGGTTCGGAAATCCCGCACGCATCCGGACCGCCTTATGGCATTTTAACAAGCGATGAACTCCGATCCCGATCGGGATGTCCCAACTCGGCCCGCACGGCCGGTTTGGGAATACCGCAGGCATCTGACATATTAACCGCAGTCTTATAACCGCAGATTGCTGTTATGCAGATGCGACCACTTTGCTTGCGCCACCGCAACCCCCTCGCCTCTTCATTATCTCCAACTCAACCTTTATTATGCCTGCACGACAAAATGAATTGCATTGGACACTGAAATATATTCACAAATTTACTGGTTGCACACAGGTCAAATTTTCACAAATTCACAGCCTGGCCAGCACATTCGTGGCGTCGGCCATCATCTTAGCGCCGCTGCAAGGCGCTGGCACAGCGGACTCACTTCCGGTGTTCACAGTCATTATAGCAGGCCTGCGCCTTGTTCGTGTCGGCTCCTCTGCGGACAGTGTGTCCGTCTGCTGTCACGAACTTCAGAGAGCCACCGCGAAACTAGACGGCTGGCATCTGGTCGGGCGGTTCACCACTGTGCAAAGAGAGCATCTGAAAATGACCAAGAGGTAATTAATCAAAGTCTGGGACACACTAAAAATCACTAAGAAATAACTCACATCTGACATTTCACGTGCAATGCCAGGTAATTCAGGTTTCAAACCTACAATGCAACCATTAACGACACTTGACAATGAGACCAAACATCTTCTGTCCATGATAACTGATCAAACATGCGACAGCACGAGTGTAAATCACATGCCGTACAACCACAACGAACATAACAATTTCTATTACCTATAGCTTTCCCGCTCCCTACATCACGGATGAAGTGTGCACTATACTCACCCTGTTCTCAAAGACGGACTGATTTCCCTGCAACGACAACAGTTGAACCGACCGCTTGCTAGAGCCAGTTCAAAAGCAATATCCTGAGGCAGCAGCTCAAAGGAGGGATCGACACTTGACCAACGCGGCAGCTAGACTGGCCGCTGCGCTCAGAGGACGCGTCTGCCTGCACGCGGCCCATCTGATTGCTTTTCCAGGCCTTCTGGGCCACCGGATATGGTGCCCGAAGCGCCTTCTCAGATCGGTTGGGATAACAACGTAAATCACAAGCCTGTCTAAACATGGGATTCGATTGGGCTATCCGTACCGCGTCCCAACCGATTAAGCATGCGGTCCGGAAATCCCGAGTCGCCCCTACCGCCGGCCATCGAGGTCCGGTATCGATTGGGACAACCCAAGCCTACCCAACCCGGTAGGGACAAGTCGGGACATCCGGAGCCTATCCCGACCGTCCCCAACCGCATCCCGGACGAATTGCTGGCTGGGGTCCCTCAAGCCGCTCGCCAACGTGACGTGATGTGACGTCACGTGTCCTGCTGACGTCATGTATGACGTGCCCAGAATACCGGTCGTTGATTGGCCTGGCTGGTGTGTTATATATTTGGCCGTCTGCAACAGAGTTTGGCCTGGTCTCGGGTGGTCATGAGAATTTATCCGATCTGTCCAATATCCGCTGGTCAGAAGAGCATTTGGATTGCGACGGGATCATGCTGCTCTGTAAGGTTGAGATGCACGATGGGACTAGTTATCCCAAACTCTAACTAAAGCTGTCTGTTCTATTAATCCCCTTTGTCAGCCATCGATCAACGTTTGCTAGGGGCTCGTTAGGCGGCACGGGCGGACATCGATAGCAGCGCCTCTATCGGCCACTAGGGAAAGCTGGGCTGTAGGCGACGATATACCGGCTGAGTTGTCACACGTTGAATAGGTTTATAGCCATCCGTCTTGTGAAAAAGTTGAACTTTTGCCTTTAATATTTCTACATGCAATTTTAGAAGTATCTTCACATGGATTACAAAACCGTTTAGATTATTGTATTCACTTCAAGCCTTCCCTATTGTTCTTGATGATGCGGGAACTATTTATAATTAGTGTTTCTAGCTTAGTAAAAGAACATACTGTGCAAACGATGAAAAAAGCATAATGGAAGATTTTAAATGCAATTTTCTCTAACAATTAATGGTAAATTCTTTACATATCAAGGAAAAGGTGCATGCTAACTGATAATTTTAAGTTCTTGGGGCCAGTTGTTTTCTTCTTTTCTTACGTCGCCCCAATGGCCGCGAATACACTTGTGATAACGCCTATCGTAATGAGGTCGCCGGCGAGGCCACTCAAGTCAAGTTTGCGCTCAAGAGGTGAGAAACGTTTAACTAAACTGCGCGCTGAAGTTGTTCGATGATTCCCCGAGCGGTTTGACTATGCTCTCCAAAGCTCATCGGTAGTTGAGTTCAGTCGTATTGTCGCCGGGGAGTTGGAGTCAGTTCGAGCTTTGAGTTGCTAATCGCAGGCTGTTTTGGTAGTAAAGAGCGCGGCGATAGTGGCTGGAAAGGGCAGAGAATGCCCGGGCAACGGTGGCGAATTTCGCTTTAGCTCGTTTGGAGAGTCGTTCAACCCTTCTCAAGAGACTACTTTGTCTAGGAGAATCGGCATTTTGCCGGGTAACATCAAACGATCTAAAAGCTGTCGTAAGAGTGACTTTGTGCGTTCACCCTGGCGGCACAATGCCTTTTTCTTTGTAAGCCGCTTCTTCGTAAATTGCATGAAACCTTCTGATCTCTTTCATTGGCATCCAGCCTATCATCTGTTTTCGACCCATCCAGGTCAATTATCGGAACTTTTTTCTACTTTCGGACCAGCAATCAGGAAACTGAAACATTGTTTGACTGGGACCCCTGACTGTTGAAATACGTCCCTTCACCGGCCGCTGACGGTCTGTATTGATTGGATTGTTTTTGCCGGGGGGATTGGAAGTCCGGTGGATTGGACCGGCTGTCCGGGGTTCCCGCGATGGATGGGTGAACCGTGGTCTGAGAGAGCTCCCTGAAACCGAGGCTCTCTGGAAGGATGATCGGCAGGCATTGTTGGAGCTGGGCTTACTCCCCAGCGCTTAGTGCTCAGCTCTCAGCCTTCGTTTTGAGATCGCATCGACTAGCTGTCAGTGTTATAGACGCTCAGGTCTAAGGCCCAGACTCTTTATATTGACATAAGGCGCATATTGATGTGAGGCGCATATTAGGAGCTGCAAGAACATGCTCAATGCTCATATCGGTATTGTTTATGAAGCACCTGCTCCGTATTTTACCTCACTTGCAAATAATCGATGCCATACCACGTTTCATATCTTCCGATGTTTTGTACGTTACATTAGACGTTGCGACGATGAGTCCTTGAAATTGCACTGATAGTAGGTCGCTCTAGCCATTTTTTCCTGGTAGGATGTTCATGGATTTCTGTTTCTGATCAAATACTGATCATGATGGTCCGTGATTGATTCGGCGAATATCTGGCTTGCACTTGGAACGGAATATTGCTTACGAATCTTATGCATATTTACAGTAGATTATATATTCAAATCAATAATAAATAACTTTGCATTAAATGTCACATTGTCACAGTTTCCAGACTTGAGAACCCAGCAATTCCCTTTTATCGTTAGTCGCACTTGCCTTCTAGTCGCCATGCGAAGACCCTAGAGTCTGAGTTAAAAGTAGCGAAATTATGGAGCTCGATTGCCTCTCACACCACCATCAGTGTATAGAAGCCACTCAAACTCCGCTCAGATAATCTGTGCAACTTTTTCAGCCGTTTTTTATACTGTTTCATACCGTCGAGTGGGAGCACATTTCTGGAAAATCGCCAGCTGAGGGCTCCGTCCGGGTCCGACTGAAGTTGTCCCAAGTTTGGGGCAGTCTTGGCTCTGTCTGCTGGGGGCCACCCGCTCCGGCCAGCCATGTTGTACAAGTTGGATCGGGAGACGGATGTGAAGGGCACCAATTTGGGCCGGTTTCGCCGCAGAGTTATCTATGGATCGGAGTTGATGCCAGTCTGGTGATCCGGCGCCATCGCGGCGACAGATTCTGATAAATGTTTGAGCTAATTATTATGTCGCTCAGCGGTTTGCTAGGTTGGCGTGTGGAAAAAAGAAAAGGAGATAAAAGTACTGGAGAATAGATATAAAATCGCTTTAGTGCCGATCGCAAGTAACAAATGAAAGGCGAAATAATCTTCTTGCGATAATGTTGCTGGATGAATTGATCTCCCTTTGCATGGTGATATGAAGCTGCTGAGATTTTACGGAACAAATTTTAAGGAAAAGGGATTATTTGATATTGCAATGCAAAGTACGAACTACGACATTCCCCTTTCATCATTTCAGTGAACTAGCGATATGTTTGGAAGAATTAAAAAACAAACTTTGCACGCCCATGCGCTCATGTCTATCGAGACGAGCTTGTGTCCTTCAAAATAGTCACCGTGTTCTCGGCTTCCAATTTATCCCACTGGTGGCCCACACTCCATGAATGATAATCTGCCCTCGTGCGACACTGGCCCGGATAACCTCTGACCTTTAGAGGCTGACCGTGTGAATGAGACCAGTTGTCTGGGCACTTGGAGCCGATGCTCTGCAATAATGCCTTCTCTGACTGGTTTAAACGGGACATTTCCAAACACTGGGTACCACGTGTGCCTAAATGACCGTTTGGAGTCATAGTTAACGTCGGGGTTGTTAACGAGTGTTGGTGCTTTCATCTCGTGTCGCCTGTGACCTTTGATTCTGTGACCTCTGACCGAAAACATGTTGAAATCTCCCATTTCTATGGATTCTTGATACACGATGCATGCGACTTCCATTCACAAACTTCACTACCTTTTCTTTTGTAACTATAATCCCATGGCATATCTGACCCCCTTTCAGATATCTGACCGTGTTTTGATCTCTGGCCTTCGAGCTTTCTAGCTTATACCCAACACCCTTGACTTCTAGGTTTTTTACTTACGCCCTACTCTCTTGACCTCTGGTCCTATTATTTCTTTCCTATGACCTGAGACCCTATGAGCCCCGCACTGTGACCTCGGCTGACCGGTGTCCCCTTTTCTCCGACAGAACGGGGTGCGTCGTGGCCGATCGGCACCTCTGCACCTGGGCAGCGGAAGTCCGAGGTCCTCTTCTTCAGAGCACTCATCTGACCGTGTCACTCCGCACTCCCCTGAGGTAACGGCCAAGGTGGGTGTCTGACATTGACACTCTGACACTGACACTCTGACACTGACACTCTGACACTGACACTCTGACACTGACACTCTGACACTGAGTAAATGACATGCCGATGACACTTTTTACACTGACGGACATTGGCACAATAAGACTAAAGGACTGACCGTTGACACTGACAGAATAACATGCTAAGACTGACATTGGTACTGACACGATGACACTGACACAATGAAATACGGACACCATTATTAGGCAAATAATGGTAACTTGATAGTTAGATTTCAATCGGATTTTAAGTTACATGTAATTGAACAACATTTCAGGAAAAGGTTAAATTATTTATTTGACGCTGTTATCCAGCTTTTCGCCGTATTCTGTTGAACTTTTATTGAGTTTTTGGCTAATGCACCATTCAGTTCTTTTTAACTTAATTTTAAATGGACTACAAAACCGTTAGGTGGGCTCGGGCTAGTTGGTTCCAGTAATCTACTTCAGCCCATAAAATTACAAAGAAACATAAAACTTCGAACGGCACGGTCTAGAGCCATAAAACCACGAGCACAGGCCTATTTGAACTGCAATAAATCCACTGGTTAGTTAAGCTCCCATAAGCAGCATCCTTCCCCATGTCTATTAAATGAAGCAAACATATTCTGCAGCAGCAATTGCAGAATACAACTTGAAGCACCTCGCAACATTTCCGACAAGTTCACCAAAACTCCACAAGTGTTGTGAGAATCCTCAGTGGAATCATTTCATTCGAGAACCGTTCCTCGTCGCGTCCGACGAGCCAGTCCATAAATCTAACCGCGAATAATTGACGCGTGGCGTGGCTTTGTTGGCGGCGCGCCTCCGTCGCGGACGATTTCGACGCCCGCCGCCGTCGCCGTCGACGCCTTCTGTCGGCGTCGATTTGGATGTCTCCGGCGGCCCCCATCGCGTCGTCTGCGACGGAACCATTTCGACCTCCTGCCGGATGGGTTTGTCCGTCGCTGACGGCGTCGATGTCGACGTTTCATCGTCGTTGACGATGCGACGTTTTGGTGGGAGCGTTGATGACGTAGCCTGTCGACAGAGACGCACTGGTATTTATGTTTGTGTGCGTGTTTGTCTGCGTCTGTTAGTTGGTTGGTCGGGCTTCTGTCATTCTAAAGAACATCTTTGTTGTGTTGACGTCTGGCGGGGAGACAGACGGCAGAGGGGGAGGTGGATGGCAGAGGATAGGAGGGTAGAGGGACAGAGGACGGGAGGGGAGAGAGCGGCCACTGTCGTTGAGCGGGCGATCCGTCTCCCTCTCGACCCAGGCCGAGTAGCGAGCCAGATGGGCTGTGGCGACCGCGGCAGAGGCAGGGACCCGAACATATCTATCAACGGGGAGGGAGGACAGGGCCTGCCCTAAAGATCGGGTAACCGTGCTTAATGCTTACTAATCGTTCAGCATTTTGTTGCTGTAGGCTCGTCTGTACAAAAGCATATTTGTACATAATATTACCCAGACGGATAAGAATAGGTAAGATGTTCAGTCTTTTCGAGACTTTTCTTGAAGCAAAATGCAACCGAAATATGAAATGAAGAAAGGAGCCAATATCATATCTTTCTTGAACTGCATGTCTCCAAAACTGGCTGTGTCCAAGATTGTGTCTCTGTCCAAAGCTTTCTCTGTCTAAAGCCTTGTCTGAGCGTTCGGTACCGTGTCTCCGACCAAAGCCGTTCGTTCGACCCGACCATGGGCTGTCTGCTGGCGCGTTAATTAACGCTGCAGATCTGGGAACGGAGCGGCTGGTCTGAGGTAATGACCTCTCGTGGAGGGGGTCCTCCGTTACCCGTCCTCCATTACTGGTCTTTCATTAATGGTCCTCCATTACCGTGAGCCGGCTCATTAGCTGGTGACAGTGGACAGGCTGTGGAGATCTCACTGTCCACAGTGGTTAGTACGTGTGGAAGGATAATTGTGGATAGACTGTGGAGGGAGTGTCCGCTGGCGCTGTCAACAGTGGGTAAAAAATGTGGAATGAGACCTGGGGACAGACTGTGGAGGGTTCACTGTCCACAGTGGATAATATGTGGAATGATAACCGTGGATGACTGTCGACGGGTTGTGGAATGTCTGAGGACAGTGGATGATGGATACGGACTATGATTGCTGATCAAATTTTGGATTTGTCAGGCGGTGGATTTTTGGAACTTGGGTCTGTATAGCAGTGCTCGCCACGGGCCGCAAAATCCCAGTCCAGCCCAGCCCAGGTCCATGGGTTTACAGCCCGGCCCAGCCCAAGCCCATTCATGGTAAAATCGTAAAAGCCCAGCCCGACCCAGTCCGTCAAAAATGAATGGATTGAACATTATTGATGTTACAGGGAGTTTGAGAAATCCGTGAGTTTGCAAACTCCCTAGTGAGTTTGCAAACTCCCTGACCCATCAGTGACTTTGCAAACTCACTAGGAAGTTTGCAAATTCACTAGGGAGTTTGCAAACTCACTGACCGGTCAGGGAGTTTGAGAAATTCCAGAGCGATTGGGCCAAATAAAATCAAATGTGTAAGATGAGGCTGGCATACGTGCCGGCCGTGATGTTAAAACAAAAGCGACTAGTGGTACGGCCTATATAACCGTCGCACGCTGACAAAAAGCTTACAGATCCTTCATTGTTTTACCGAAAAAAATGCTACTCGCGGCTATCTAAAGGGGAGGTTCGGAGCAACGTGCTCCTCCGTTCCGTCGTTTCCATCCTCAGGAATCAGGATACTGAAATCCTTCTCATCCACGCCGAAACCCCCACTCCGGGCTGGACAGGCACCTTTATCTCATGCGGGCTGCTCCCTTGGAGCGGCACCGCTGCTTCCGAGGGAGCGCACCCCGTAGCCGGGTGCAAAGAGTGCTTGGGGGGCTGGTCGGTCTGTCAATTCGGACGGGCTCAGCCCCGGCGACTCTGCATATAGGGTGTCTGCCCAGACCAATGTCTCCCCCTACGATTTCTATCATTCGTCCGACTCTGAAATGGTCTTGTCAGACCGAAAGGGCCTAACCCAACAAAACAAAAACAAACAAGCAGCGTGCGCCAGTCGCAGCTGGGCTGGCTGCCAGCAGCGCCGGCTCTCGATGACACGTCTATGGCGGAGTGGGAATGGGCGTGAATTGATGCGTGTGCCTGTACTTTAGCATAGGTGACCAACAGTGAGCTGTTTCTACTTTGATATATTGAGCCTGACTCTGGAATAGCCACACTTGAGTGGAACGGGCCTAATTGGGACGTGAACTAAATAAATGTATAACTAAATAAAGCGGCGGTACATGCATGGGTAAATCACTGAGCAGCTTAAAATAAAAAAGGTATTTATGGTGTGCATACTCGTATGATTGTGGTATTTCCGACAAAAGTCCGAGTTGGTCTAGTCTTCTATTTCCATTCCATTCCAACGCCACCAACACCACACACGGACCCGTCCTCTCGCCTGCGCCCTCTCTGCCTCACTGCCGCCTCTCACCCCGTCCACACATGGCCAGCAGGCGGCTTCCGCCCATGAACAACGTCGCCCTTCTTCCGTCCCTCCACGTGTCTCTGTCGCTAACGAAACAGTACTAATTCAGGCCCACTCGCCGACGCACAACTAAGCTAGAATGACACATTCGAAACACATTCCCCCCTGTTCCTAAAGGAACACATTCACTCAACCGTCTCGCTCGGGATGGGGTCACCGTACAGCTGTGTCGCCCGTCTCCAGCGCGCACTCCTTCTCAGTGTCTCACTATCGTTACACGGTCCACCCCCACCTTCCGCCGGTCCCTCAGCCTCATCCCTGCGGTCACTTTGCCTTTCATTTTCCAAAGCCGAACCTTGGCCTTCGGTGTCCGTTTCCAGTTTCACGTCACCTCCCGTCTCAGTCTGCGGGTCCCCGGCAGGGTCGTTAGTCGGCGCGACCGTCGGGGCCGTCGCCGGGGCCTCAATGGCCAGCCGCCCGGGCGCCCGGACGGTCGGAACCGGACAAGGGACGTCATTGTCCATCTGCCCGTGCTCGTCCTCTGTCGCAATCACTGTCGCGTCATCGACCAGACGATGCCGCACGTTTCGGACGTGCCACGGCACACCGTCCACCTCTATCGTCTGCGGTGAGACGATTTTAGTGACCGTGCCTTCCCTGGACACCGCGGTGCACCGATCACCCCGTTTCCGAATCCACACCGCGTCTCCGAGCTGAAATACTCCAGGCTGGCGGGCAGTAGGAACAGATGTGCCTCCATGTGACTGTACACACAAGTCCCTACCAGCCTGACGGTACACGCCGTGTACGGGGGCCGACGCGATATCACAGCCGTCCTTGGGCGTGACATTATAACGATGCACAGCCTCCGGCACGGTGCAGCCCTGACGGGTGGCCATCACTTTGATGGTGCGGTGGTGGCGCTCGATGATACCATTCCCGCCAGGCTCATATGCTGCGCGGTAACTCAAGTTCACGTCCCATCGCGCCGCGAACGCCTTCAACTCTCGTCCTTTGAACTCCGTCGCGTTATCCATCAAAAGCTCGGCCGGCGCCCCTCGCTCTAAAAAGATGCTTTCTAGCTGCCCGACGATCTCGCTGCCGTCAGAGCGGCGAATTTCGCGCCACATTGCGTACCGCGACGGTCCGCAGTCGATCACGGTCAGGTAGGTCTTGCCACGAAAATGTGTGACGTCCATCGCCAGCCGCTCCCAGGTACGGTCGACCTCCAGGGTGCCGTGCTTCCACCGCGACGGGGCAGGATCGATGGACGCACACACCTGGCACGATTTGACGACCGCCCGGACCGCCGACTTCGTCACGGCCCCGCTGCCCAGCTCTCGGCGCGCGTACCACCAAGTACGGCGCACCCCCTGGTGGCCCACGCTCTCATGCACCGCCTGTATGTCCTCTGCACGCGCTGTCCTCACGGCGGCCACCACGCCCACGGCCTCTGGCGGTTTGACCTTCAGCCACTCCCCTGGCACTCTTGTCAGTTCATCGGCTCGGTTATTCGCTGACGGCACAAGTT